GCCCCGCCACAGGCCTGATTCTTGCTCTAGATCTTAAAATCACAACAAAGCATATAGAATGAAATTCAAGAGTGTAATTAAGAGCTCATCAGTCATAACCCTTTGAACTCAGACTGGGGGCTAGAGAGGTACCTGACACCCACAGAGGCAGAAGGCTCTCACCCCACACCTCTAATGCCCAGAGGCTGGGAAACAAGGCCGGGAAACCTGTTATTTTGCTAATTAGTGGAACCTCATTACAACTCTAATTTTCCTCCTTAATGGGGCTGCTAATTGGGACTAGTAAACTTTTCCCTTCTGAGCCCCAGAGAGAACTGAGGCTGACTCGGGCACTTGAAGGGTTAAAAAAAAGAAACCACCGATTTCCTTGAGGGGAGGGGGGCTCTCCAAGTGGCCTGACGCACTTTCTGGCTAGTCTCAGGCCAGAGATGGGGGAGAGGAGTTTAAGGCCTTCGGGGAACCACAGAGGGGGGGACAATGGAAAGGAAGAGAACAGACAGGTGTGTGGACAACGCACCTCAGTTACCTCTCCCAGTCCTCCCCACAGCCCTAGGAGGAGGCCCAGGGGGTATGCTGTCCATTTCACAGGTTAGTAAGCCGAGGCCCAGGGAGACACAAAGACTTCTCCAAGGTCACAGGCTGGGAAGCGGTACAGCCAAGACCAGAAATGCAGGCTACTGTGTCTGGCCTGCCCCTGCCTCTGAGAGAGTGAGACGACCTTGGAAGTCATGTGAGACTCGTAACCATGGGCTGCTGGCAGGAGCTGGTGATGAGAACAGCTCAGACGGTGCCTGCTGGCAGTGAGAACAGGCTGCAGAAATTCCTGGGACCAAGAGGTTTCTGCGGACCCAGTGACTAGGCCTAACACCCTCTATGAGCTCAAAACAGTATTCCCCACTGAAGCCTTCCGTTATCTGTCCCATCCTCAGATACCACCTGGAACTCCTTCTTCTATTCCTTTCCTTCTGTTTTGTTGATGCTGTATCCCATGCCTAGGACAGTGCCTGGCACATAATATGTGCTCAATAAATTTTTGTTGAGTAAATGAAAGAGTAAGATGTCCCTTGCTACTGGAAAACATGTTTGGTCCAATGCCATTCAAGGTCAGTTTGTTTGCAAGGGGATGGCAGGAAAAGAACAGGAGGTCAGAGTGGCTCTATGGTAAAACACAGCCAACTGTCATCCCCAAAAGGGTGATATGATTCCAGGATGAGGGAACAGGCCACAGGAGCTAAGTGCTAGAAGGAGAACTTCCCACAACCTTTAGACCCTTAAGAGGGCCTGGGCTTTGGGTAGCTGGGTGGGATGGCACTGTGTATGGGGGTAGTGGTGGAAGGGGACATGGCAAGGGCTCAGAGAGCCACAGTGGTGGTGAGGGGGCAAGTGGGAGGTAAACAGGGTGAAGGAGGAACCAGCTGAGCCCTGCTGAATAGCAGGAGAGACAGGAGTTAGATTTTAGGAAGTAAATCAATTTCTTCATCTCTGCAGCTACTTAGGGTATGAGAATCCTTCCCGATCTGTGTCTTTGGGGTGTTGGAAGCAGAACCCTCTGCCAAACTGGGGGCTGCCTGGCTGTTCTGAGGTGGTCGGAAAGGGTGTTTGCTGAGGCCAGGTAAGAGGTTATGCACATTGATTGTCTGGAGAAATTAAAACTCAGTGATCCAGAGTAGATAGGAAAGAGTTAATGGCAAAGCAGTCATGGAGTATGAAAGTGAGAAAAACAGAGGCAAGAAGTGCTTAGAGCCAACCCAGGGCCTGGCTGTGAGTATACCTAGTCAGCAGCCTCGGCACGGGCCCGTCTGTGTTAGGAGGGGAGGCGGAGGGATGAGACTGCCTCACGATGAGGTGCAGGGAGCGGCCCAGGGTGACCCTGACATGGTAGCAGCGAGAATGCAGCCACTCTGGCCCCAGACCCTCCTTGACGCCCGCACCAGGCCAGACCGTGGACTTCTGCCCCACCTGGTCCCAGCGACCCTGTTTCCAGCTTTCAATCCAGAGTCTGGGCATCCTCCCCCTTCTCCTCGCCCCCCATGGCACCCAGGATCCCGGCTCTCCCGCCAGCGCCTGACTCCTTCCAGAACCGCGGCTCGCAGCGTCCCAGCCCCTGGTCCTGCCAGCCAGGCCGAATTCCCTCTTCCCAGAATGCTCACGCCCTCCCCCTCCCCCACGGCCAGACCCTCGCGCTCTTCCCAGAATCCTCCAGCCCTTCGCGGGCCCCCTGCCCCGGGCCCCCACCCCTACCCCGCGGCGGACGAGGGGCGGGGGAAAGGAGGCTCAGGGGCCAGGCGCCCGGCCCCCGCCTCCCGGGCCCCATTGTTTCCCGGCGGCCGTCCCGGGCCCTCCAGGCCACCCCCCGGGAACCCAGGCGTCCCCAACTCACGGCTCTGGGGTCTGGGAAAAGCCGGAAGGCAGAATCCAGCCCCAGGGGACTTAACCCCTTAAATGCCCTGCCTCGGGGGGCGGGCTAGATGCTGAGGACTCTGGGGTCTTTCTCAAGGGGTGATCCCAGGCTGAGAACCCGGGGACCAGTTCAGGGTGACTGGGACAGAGCAGGAAGTGACCCCAGCTTCCCGGGCCCCTCTAGCCTGGAGTGAGAGCATCAGCTCTATGGGATTTAACCCTTTGCCTCCCACAGCCTGGGAAAAAAGGGGAGGTGGGGGAGCAGGGAGGTGGCTGAGACAACATCCTCTCCGCGTCTCAAGGAGGAGCAGGCAAGATGGGCCAGCCTCCATTTCGGGGGACTCCAGATTCCAGCGAGGGTCTCCGGATTTCTGGCTGCTCTGCACCTCTCAGGGGCTCCGGCAGCCACGCCCCGAAAGAAAAAAAAAAAAAGGCTCTCAGATTTGGCGGCTCCTGGTCCCCTGGGGCCAGCCTTTGTTGGGACTCAGACCCTAGCGTGGGGCTCAGATGCCTGGGTTCTGTGGTGGGAGCAGGGACCGGCCGGGTGAACTGGGAGAAGGAACATGCTACAGACTACAAATGGCTTAAATAAAATAATCATCACAGCAAAGGTTTGGGCTGAAGGGACAAGTGCAGTCAAGAGGGGATTTGTGGTGGCCTCTGGGCTGCAGCCCACTCGGAAGCTGGGAAATGTGAGCCCCATCAGCTCCTTTCAGAGGAGAAACTGAAGACCAAGGTGGCAGGAGGGAAGCCAGTGGGTCCCCCTGGCCAAGGAGGGCGAGAACATTTTCCAGTAGCTCAGGTGGCACCCAGAGGAAAACTTTAAATTATCTGGAACACTGAGATCCTCCCAAGGCCCAGGTTATCTGGGCTCTCAGTTTTTACAGCCGTTACCTCATTTCCTCTTCACCACAATTCAATGAGGTGGGACCACCTATTATCCCCATTTTACAGGTGGGGAACCTGAGGCATGAGAAGTCAAAGTACTTAAGCCATCTTATTATTTAAATTAAACACATTTGTATACTGAAGCTTATTATTCCCTAGGCACTGTGCTGAACATGGGCCTCAGAACTGAACAAGAATCAGGCTGTCTACCCTCAAGAAGTTTAATACTGTATGTGTGTGTGTTACAGACACAAAGGAATCACAGGAGAATATGAAAAGGGCTATCTGTCCAGAGACGTGAGGGAGCTAGGGGAGGAACAATCCATTCTGAGAGTGTCGGAACTTGCTAAAGCAGATGAAGCTCCTCTGGGCCCACATGGGGTCCAGAGAGTTTCGTGAGAATGGCAGGTGCAGGAGAAGAGCGCCCTGTGGGGCCCTGCCTCTGCCTGCTCCCCAGCATTGTCTCCCTTCACCCACAGTCTCATCCAGGCACATCTCCATCTTGTCCCTGGCTACCATCACCTTCAACCACTCACTCCCACTTCAGGGCCCTTTGCTCCGCCTGGTCCCCCTTACCTTGATGTTTCTCACCCTTGAAAGAATGTTTACCGCCTCTCTCCACCTCTGCCCTCCAGCACACACACATTCACACCCACCCACCTGCACACACACACACACTCACCCGTTCCACATGCACTAATGTCAGCTCTACCCGAGCAGGGATTTCATCTGTTTTATTCACTGTTGTATCTCCAGTGCCTAGAACAGTGACTGGCATGTAGTAGGTGCTCAATTAGTATTCACTGAATAAGTGGGATGAAGGCATCCTTCTACCTCTTCCATCTATCCCCGGATCAGTACCCCGGCTGGACCAATGGGGCTAGACTGAGTTGGGCAGAGCCTCGACAGCTGAGCTCCAGCTATGCACCCACATTTATCCACAGACTCACCCAGCCACTGTCACCGAGAGACAGGTCAGAAGAAGGTGGGTGGGGTCAGAGATGTGTGGACATACCAAGCCCTCACCACTCTCTCCTGCCCTCCAAAGGTGGATGCCTGCCCTGGGCCTGACTCTAGGAGGCGGCTCTACAGGAAAGCTGTGCTCTGGAGGTTCACAGAATTTAGTTTTGTTTTTGTTTTTTTTAACTGAATTAATTGCTACATTTAAATATCAATACATTTCACATAAAAATTTAAACTTCTTGCTTCCTGTGAAGATTCAAATATATGCCAACATGATCCAAATTTTCATATGGCAAAAGACTGGCTGCAGCTGGGCAGCAGTTTTCCTTCTTTAGAGGGGCATTGGCTTTCCAGCTTATCACAGTCCCTGTCACTCCTGTTGTGTCCTCAACCCTGAGGCTGAGAGTCCCGTTTAACTGTAGGTATTGATTCTGCTCCCCTTAGTCTGTGTCGCCTAGGTTCAGAGTAATATATACGAGGATAGTGTCTTCTGACAGAGTTATATTTATTGAGCACTTACTATGTTCCAGGCACTGTTCAAAGTGTTTGTACATATTAACTCCTTGAGCCTTCACAACAACTCAATGACATCAATATCATTATTATCCCAAAGATAGAGAGGGTCAGTTACTTGCATTCAGCTTGTAAGAGACAGAGCTGGATTCAAACCCAGACAGGCTGGCTCCAAAACCACCATCGCTCCTAACCACAAGGGATGCTCAAATCAGCTCCAGCTTCTATGGGGACCAAAGGGTAAGCCTCTCAGCTCTGCCATTTTCTCCTTCATTTTGCTCTAGGAGAGCGGGGAGTTGGGAAGGTTAGGGCACTGCCATTTGGGCAGAACCATCGTCCAGGTACAGTTTGGGTGCCCTGCCCTCGGGGGAAAAGGGGCACTCTGACTGTAGGCAACAATTTGATGTCCTGTTGCCTACAATCAGCTGGCATAGCAGCCGTGAAGGAGAGAACTCCCAGAAGGATGAGGATGACTCCTCACTGACATCTCTCATGGACAACCCATTGCCATACTCTTTCTGGTCACAGCTCACCAGCCTTTCACGTGGCTCCACACTATAGGCCCTTGTGCCCTGAGGCCAGGTCTCTGCCATAGCAGTGAGGTCCTGAGGAAGACCTAGGTCCAAACCTTACTCCATCCTCACTGAATTCGCCTTTCGGAAATTTAGCTTTCTTTTCCTTGGAAAGGGGGACAGGAGGGTTAAACGAGATAACACAAGTCACAGCAAGAATCTTCTATTCCTTTTCCCAGAGAAGCTGTCGTACTCTAATTAGGCTTGTCTTTGTCTTCCTCATCAGAATTCACAGCCCTTCGTCTGGTGGCCAGGAGAACAAGGAGTCTCAAAACCACGTCTTGAGACAACACAGGGAATGTTTACTCTGTTTAACTTGGAGGCCCATAGTCATACACTCCATCCCTTTGCTGAGCTGTCATGGAGGGGAAACTCGAGAAGGCAGGCCACTAAAGCCAAGAACGCCAGGCCTGCAGAGGCCAATCCTGCTCATTGTCACAGGCGCCTTCTCCCCATAATGGTTCTTCAAACACAGGCAGGAGAGGCTGTCACCAGGAAAGCATGGGCCACCTTCCCTGGACATGTGCACTGACCCACAGGGTGTGTTGGGGCTGCTTTTCAGGAATGTGGTCCTCGAATGTGGGACAAGAATTACGTCAAAGGCCTGGGGGGTCCCTTCTACCTCTAAGAGGCTGGGATTCCAGGATCATTCATTCCTCTACTCTAGAACCTATACCTGTTGCAGCTGGATCGATTCCCATAGGGTTTCCAAGGGGCGGCTGGTGGATTTCAACTGCCGACCTTTTTGGTTAGCAGCCATATCACTTAACCACTGTGCCACCAGGGCTCCCTAGAACCTACAGGGGTGCACTAAAGCTTCTCAAGTCAAGTCTTATCCTCCTGGCGCCTCCTAACCATACATTTTAAGGCCCAGGCCTAAGTCCCTCTCTCAAATTTTCTTCTTCAAAAATTGCCTACTCTTAACAACAAAAAGACAAAAAGACTCAATCAAAAAATGGGCAAAGGACATGAACAGACAGTTCACCAAGCAGGATATTCAAATGACCAACAAGCATATGAAAAGATGTTCAACATCATTAGCCCTTAGGGAGATGCAAATCAAAACCACAAGGAGATAACACCTCACCCAGCTTAGAATGGCAATGACTGAAAAATGGAAAACAACAGATGTTGACTAGGTTGTTAAGAAACTGGAACCCTCATCCATTGCTGGTGGGAATGTAAAATGGTGCAGCCACTGTGGAAAACAGTTTGGCAGTTCCTCAAAAAGTTCAACACAGAGCTACCATATGGTCCAGTGTTATGGATTGAATTGTGTCCCCCCAAAATAACAACAACAACAAAAATAAAAACCCAAACCCGCTGCCATCAAGTGGACTCCAACTCGTAGTGACCCTGTAGGACAGAGCAGAACTGCCCCATAGGGCTTCCAAGGGGCAGCTGGTGGATTCAAACTGCCAACCTTTTTGGTTAGCAGCCGAGCTCTTAACCACTTTGCCACCAGGGCTCCCCACAAAAGGACGTGTTTTATAAATCCTACCCTATGCCTGTGGTTATAATCCCATTTGGAAATGGGTTGTCTTTGTTATGTGAATAAGGCAGGATTAGTGTAGGATGTCTCTTGACTCCATCTCTTTTGAGATGTAAAAGAGATTAAAGCTAGCAAGGAGAGACGGAGGAAGAGAGATGCCAAGCAGATGAAGATCGCCCAGGAGCAGAAGCGCAGAAGAGACAAGGACCTTCCCCCAGAGCTGACAGAGAAAGCATTCCTCTGGAGCCGGTGCCCTAAATTTGGACTTCTAGCATCCTAGACTATGCGAAAATAAATTTCTGTTTGTTAAAGCCATCCACTTATGGTATTTCTGTTATGGCAGCACTAGATAGCTAAGACACCCAGCAATCCCAGTCCTAGGTATATACCCAGAAGAAGTGAAGGCAGGAACGCAAACAGAAACCTGTACAACAGTGTTCACTGCGTCACTTTTCACAGTAGCCAAAAGGTGAAAACAGCCTAAATGTCCATCAACAGATGAATGGATAAACCAAATGTGCTATATACACACAGTGGAATACTATCCAGTCACAAAGAGAAATGAAGTTTTGACGCATGCCACATGGATGAGTCTTGAAAACATGCTGAGTGAAATAAGTCAGTCGCAAAAGGACAAATACTGTATGATCTTACTTACATGAAATAAGCAAATATCTAAAACTCCAAAATTGTTAGTGGTTACTAGGGGTTGGGAGGGAGAGAGAAAGGGAGGGTTTTTGATTG